TTTTTTTACAGAGTGGTCTCGTTTCCCCATGACAGGCACTTGCAGGGCTGGCGGGGTGGCACCAAATGGGGCTTAATCCATCATCTCCAACCATCGTCTTTGTGCCATCCCATCACCCACAGCCTGACCATGAACCCCAATCTCTAGCCATCTCCAATTCCCAAAGCCCCGGGGCCACCAGACTCCACCACCTCCCGGCAGCCCCTCGCTCTGCTCCACAAAGGTTCTTCAGTTGCTTTGACTGAAATACTTCATGAAAAGGCTTTTGTACCATCGAAATCGCTGGTGACCCCAGTCCCCCCTGCCCAAGATTCCCAAGAAAAAGCAGGAGGCAGCTGTGGGGGGTCGTGCCGGCTGGCTCTTCCCTGCTCCCGGCCCTCCAGATGTTTTATTACCCTCTGTTTAATTAACATTTCCAGCCACGTGCTGAATGGGGAGTTCACATCTGCCCCTTCTTCCTAGACAGCTCCTTGTTTAGGCATACATGGATACGTCCAGGAGGCTGTGTGAGCCCCAGGATGCTAAAAAATAAAAATAATCACCTGATGGGTTATTTTTMTCCATATTTCCCATAAATAAAGTGGGATGAATCCTCAGGGCATGAGGAAGAGGTTGGTCCCCAGCATGGGACATGTGGGGGGTSAATGTCCCATGAGATCCAGCCCTCCCAGGTGCTCCCCAACTTTGCACTCCTGTGACCTCCCAAGTCATAAAAAAGGCAGCCCTGCAGTTTTGGGGTGTTTCCCAACAGTTTTTATAGGTCTACAAACATAGGAGAGCCTCCACAATAGGTTTCATCCACTGAGAGGTGGTATCTGGTGTTCTGGGGGTGATGATTGATGAAAGGATGGGGGATCGTGGGATGAGGGGTGTCAGGTGGGGCCATCAGACATCCCAGGATCTTCAGCCACCATGGGACCCTCAACCACCCCAGAACCCTCTGCTGTTCCTCCACCTTTGGTCACCTCAGGAAGCCTGGACACCCCAGGACCCAACACCCACTCCAGGACCTTTGGCCACTGTGGGACCCTTGAGCACCCCAGGATCTCTGAACACCCCAGGACTCTCAGCCACACCAGGATCCTTGGACAGCTTGGGACCCTCAGGACTTTTAGGTGCTTGAGGACCTTTGGACACCCCAGGACCCTCCATCACCCCATTCACCACCTCCCACCCCATCCCACTCCCCCAGACACAATATTCCCCGGGGACTGGGGGCACCAGGGTATTCCCACCCTCCTTCCACCCCCCTCAACCGAAACCTAAAGCCCCAAGGAGACAAATCCCGACACAGCACCAGAACCATCACTATCTTTGGGGACAAACTGGGGGGTGTGGCAGGGCTCGTTAAACCCCACTTCAGCTTCCCGGGGCAGGGAGAGCTCGGCCCCAGTTATTTTCCCAGTACGTGATGATGGTGGCTRATGGGTGGGCTGCTCCACACGTGGCCCCCGAGCCCGCAGGGGAGGAGGTGAGACGCCGCAGAAATTTTGGGGGAAGCCCCCCAYCTTCGCGTCTCTCCTGCTCTCCCAGCTTTAGGATGACCCCGAATTTTCTCGGGGGAGAAAAAGGGGACCTGATGAAGAGCTACCCCGAAATCCTCCGAGTTAACCCCTCCCCACACGGTGGCAGCGCGGTTCCAGACAGATGTTGGCAGCAGGGGAGGGCTGAGCTGGGGGAAGAACAATGAGCTGCTAATGTCCCATTAGCACATGCTGGGGACACCACCGGGAGAGGGCCCACCCCCGACCCTCCCCCACACCTATCCCCCCGCCTCAGGTCACCTCCTGCCCCCCAAAAACACCTGTTCGGGAAGGTCATCGCCACGGGGGGAGATGGGGGGCAGAATTTTGATTATTTGGGGTAAAATTGAGACGCATTTGCACTCCCAAAAGCTCCAGGCTCCAAACTGCTTCGCTACCCGCGAACACCCCTTATCTGCCTCCCCATTCAGGTTGGGAAATTAGGGTAATTCCCGGAAATGCCGATTTTCTCCAGCCGGGGGCTGCGTTAGARGGTACGGGGGATGTGGAGCTAACGAGGCTCAGAGAACCCCAAAAACCACCTGGGACGGGGTRTCCCAGAAGAGCCCGGGATGGGGGTCCTTGAGAACCGCTCTTGAGGTGGGTGACCCCGAGAACTCCGATAGGATGGGAGCCCCGATAATTGATCAGGGACAGAGGAGCCCCGGAACAGCCCGGCAAGGGGGTCCTCAAGAGTCATCCTGGGGTGGGAGAGACCCCATGGGGCGGGGGTCCCCGRGGGCTGCTCTGGGACAGAGGATCCCCAGGAATACCTGGGA